AGAAGTCATGAGCCTCTATCGATTACTTAGGAAATAAAGCAGACGTGATCAAGGGGTTTGCAAAGCGGTGCAACGAGCAGTGGGAGGTCGCACCTAAGTCTGAAATTGGACTTTATCTCGGCGATATTCAAGACCACATCGTTACTATGACGAGTAACTTGAACCATTATGAAACGTTTGTTCTAAAAACCTTTTTTTTCCCCTTTGCACTTCTTCTACCCTCTGTTACATTGTTTTTATTCTTGAGTTTGCTTCCAAGAGAAAAAGGCTAATAAAACCTACATGCACATACAGGCTGCTATCACGGGCGCACTCGAACTATCTCGCACAAATCAACATCCGCATGAACGAGCGGCAGGAGAAGACCGCTGACGTACTCGGCAAGCTTACTGTCCTTGGTACCATCGTACTCCCCATGAATATCATCTGCGGCATGTGGGGTATGAACGTCAAAGTTCCTGGGCAGGATATTGACAATTTATACTGGTTCTGGTCCAGTAAGTCCTTGCACGCACCCAACCCTCCACCTACCGCCCTCTTTGTTCATTTATCATTGTTCTCGTTGCTATTATTATATCATTCCGCATTCCCAAAAACACCCGCTAACAGTTTCCCAACCCAAATTAAACAGTCACCGCCGGCCTCGTTGTCTTCGCAGTTGCCTGTTTCTACATCGCCAAACGAGTGTACGGAATTGTATAGGCGTGGTTGCATGGGTTGGTTGCATTGAATTGCATGGGTTTTTTCCCCCTGGCTCTTCTCGAGGCTCTGTAACGAGTTACGATTGCCCCACGTGTGTTCGTTTCTATCGTTCCAATTTTCTTTTTATTTGTCGTCGCACATATCCTCTAGAGTACGGGAATTGTTTGGGAGGCTTGTGCTGCTGTATATCTGTGCATAATAGTGTCTTTTGGAGGGGAAAATGTGTGGTTGAAAAATTAGTCGGCGCTATCTTGTGTTTATGTCTCCTTCCTTTTTTCCTTCCCCCTTAGATGTGCTCCTTGGGTGCTTTCTTTCTCTTCTTTTCGCATTGTTGAGGCGGTCGGTAGATAAAAAGGCGTCCACATTATTTGTAAGGGAAATTTCTTGTCTTCGTTCTCTCTACGCTTCATAACCGCTGCTCTGTTTGAGAGTAAATTGCTTTTGGAATGATTTTTCAATTTTGTTTTTTTTTTAAATATAATTAAACTACGCAGTTGTTAATTGGAATGTCAACGTATCTGAAACAGGATTGTAAAAAAAGACAAAAACTCATTCAAGGTCATAAAAGGTGCGTCTAAAAGAGAGGAGGAAAGCAGGAGGAGGGGAAAAAAACAAAGAAGAAAGAAAAAGACAAAGACAAAATAGCCGCCCATCAATGACTTTAAAACGTTAAAAATATGAAAATGGTCACAAGCAAAAAAAAAAAAACTCATTATCATCGTAACGTCATTACCTACGAAGCAGGAGCTGGTTTGCAGCATTCATTCATATATACCCTTCCAACCTTCTATCTTCATTAATACTCTATTCGAGTCACCATCCAAAGGAAAAACCTACCAAACCTCCTCTCGAACAAACACGCCCCTAATAATAACTCACCACCACCACCTAGCCTTCCAAGTTGGCGCGTAAGGCAGTATTAGCCAGCCGAATGATTATACCCTATACTCAAGCAGCCGACGGCCATGCGAGTCAAACCTATCAGGAAGCTCAATCGTCGAGTCGGACGCTACTTCGACGCTCTCAGTAGTATCGCGGTATCTCGGATGCTGTTGCTGGTGCTGTCGGGCACGGTCCGGGATGCGATCGTGCCGGCGGATTCGAAAACGATCAAGCCCATCTACGGTAGAGTCGCTGTCATCGGTCTCATAGCCACGCAGATCGCCCGTGGGGGTCCTCGCGCGCCTAGATCCATATGGAGGCGTGCCGTATCTTGGGTGAAGGTCGAATTGGACGGATTTGGTGCGCGGCGCGCGGCCGGGTTGGCTGGATGATCTGGTTCTGGATTTCTTGCGAGAAGGTGGTCGGGGGGTTGATGTCCATGTCGATAGTGATGCTGACGATGGTGAGTTGACGGAGAAAGCGGCAGGGCGCCGAATCGGTATGGAAGGCGTGGTTGTGAAAGTGTAATGATCTGGTTTATTATTGCTTTTCTCAAAGAGGTGTGTGTGTGGTGGCAGTGACGGAAGCGGTATTTGTCCGGGTGATGTCATCGTTAGACCTGGAAACAGAGGGATAAAATATACATTGTTAGCGTTTTAGCTCAAGACCGGGTCCGTGGGACTTCAACCCACCCTCTGATGAGGTGTGGCGCTGTCCATACGAGAGAGCGGGGTTCAGCGTCGGTACAGCACTCACATTCTCATCACCCCTGGCTGACCTGGGCGCATAGGCATCCACTCCTGGAGGAGGAGGGTAAGGATAGTTTGAAGGCGGCTGCGGTGCAGCCCCTGGAGGGGGAGGGTAATCGGCCGGGTTGTACGGCCCTGGCTGGACGTTGGGTGGTGGAACAGGGGCTGCGCCAGGCGGAGGGGGGAATTGGCTTCCCTGCGCATAGTAATTTGGACCATTTGACGGAGGAGATGGCGGATATGGAGCGGGTTCATATCCATCCTCATAGGAGTCCGAGTAGTCGTGGTCATGGGCATATGCTGTTTTTCAAGTGGATTATTAGCATTCGTCTGTACATTTTTATTTTTTATTTAATTTATTGATTCATTTTTTGCATGTGAGGATTTTTCACAGGCTAGGAATGAGAAGGATTTTGTTCGCAAATGTAATACAAAATTCATAAAAGCAATAGCTAAATAATTATAACATAATGGGAATATTTCTAAATATCAAGTTGATGTGTTACGTACTTCTGCGATCCTTCTCTGCTCTCTTCCTTTCCTGCCTTTGCGTATATTCTCTAGCAGCAAGCCCTGCTCCAGCAGCGGCAAGCCCAGCGGTGGCGAGGTCTCTAGTACGGCTCCTACTACGATTCTTATGGCTGTGGCCTCGATCAGAAAAGGAGGAACCGCTTCCTGAGCCGTCATCGCGGTAATGGTGGCTTCGGGTGCGGCTACGGCTGTGGCTGGCTCTTCGACTACTTCTCCTATGAGATGCTTCAATTGCGCGGGGAGAAGAAGACTGTCGGCTGGGTGGTCGTCCATAATAGTTATTCGCTGGAATACTTCCGTATACGGGATCATCGCCATACTCAATAAGCTGTGGTGACGATCTGGAGGGATCTGGGTAGGTTGATGATCTCGCCATGCTTCTCGACCTGGACCTTCGTCTGTGATTTTTCTCTTTTCGTTCAGAGGATTCACTTTCTTTCTTTTCCTTGTGCTTCTCATAAAGGTTGGCAATCGCCGCACTGCCAAGGCCGGCAACGGCAATCGGAATACCCTGTCTAATCCTCCCTGGGGATTTCTCCCCTTTCCGAGATCGTGATTTGCTCCTAGCTCGTTCAATCAAACCTGCAACTGCTGCACCGGCGAGTCCGGCTTCCGCCGTTCGTTTGTTGCGATGTGAAGCAGCTCGGTCTTCATTAGAGCTTGACCCAGAACCACGACGGTGACGGGAACGGCTTCGCCTGTCATGTGGATTATTTTTCGATTTCCCTGGCTGTTTCTGAGACTTTTTCCTAGCCAGTGCGACTGCTCCGGCGATGGCCGCGGCGCCTAATCCGAGCCCTGCCAGAGTTTTGACATGGGAATCCGAAGATGAGCGACTCCGGCGTCTGCGGTGTCGGTGGCGACGCTCCCGACTGCGATCCCGACCACGATCGAGTGATTCGGTGCGTCTGCGACTCTTGCTGCGATGGTAACTTCTAGCCCGCTGGATAACGTCGGCGGTTACGACGCCTAGAGCTCCTGCACCCACGTCCCTACCGATGCGGCTAAGGCCACCAGATTCGTCTCCATCCTTTTTGGATTTCCGTCGCATCAACTCAGCAGCGCCGACTCCAACTAGTGCGCCTTCGGCAAGGTGGCGTTTATAGTGATGTGGGCTCTCATCGTGATGGTGGTGTCTCTCTCTACGGGAATAAGTAGTTTCATCTTCGCTATTATAGTCACGACCGTGACGGCTCCTGGTCCTTCGAGAGCCTGAACTGCGGGGGCTGTCGCCGTAGTAGTAGCGTTCTTCATACTCATCACGGTGATGGCGACCGTTGTCGTATTCTCTGGTGCTTCGGGTATAGTAAAAATCGTCCTCTCGATGATCACGGGCGCTCCGCAGCGCCCAATTTTCATCCGCTTCAGACCGATTCACGATCTGGTAATCCAAGTCATCGCGGGAGGTCCCATAAGAGGAGGGGCGATATACATCTTTAACAATTGTTGGTTTGTGTTCTCGATTGATAAAAATAGTTTGTGCATGATAATGGTGCTCCTCTCGAGGGGGCTGCTCGCTGGAGCCATAGGGGTGACTATGTATTCGATTGGGGATGGTAGACTCACGATCGTAATCTCTCTCCCTACGATACTCGTAGTCGTACCGACTATCCCGGTCATGAGGCCGCCGGATAACAAGTTCGCGCTCGCTCATCGGGTGCTCGTCTCGACGATACATGGAATCTCTTTCAGATGGGATGACGTAACGTCTCACCGAGTAGGATCTTGGTTCGGACTGGCGAGAGACCACGTCCCAGTCACTATCTCTGTGGGAGTAAGTCATGAGGATAGGCGCTGGAGAATTGACAGAGCAAATCTAAAAGAGAACAAAATCAATCCTCTCCAAGTCGAACACGGAAGCCTGGCTAAGAGTGCTTGGAATAGTGGGGCAATGTGGGACTAAAAAAAAAAAAGTGGAAAAATGTTTCCGTGGGGTGTGATCTGAGGTCTCTAAAAAACCGAGATGGGAAATATGGGAAGGGCGGAGGAGAAAACGCGATACACAAGAGGGGTGCAAACTTTTGTCAAACTGAAAACAAAGGAAAATGAAAAGAAAGTGTGAGAGGATTTGGACAGTTTATGACTGGGGAGGATCAGGCTGGGAATGAAAGCGACCGACCAGCCAGCGGCTCGGCGCAGCCAAGAGGGGCGGGGCAGAAGCAGGAATCACGGCATGCATAGTAAGGTAGTACTCAAGGGCGTATGCAGGGGAACCAGACAAGTTTGGTCAAAAAAGAAAAGAGGAGGAAGAGGAGGAGGAAGAAGGGCACACAGAGCTGGGATATTGTAGAGATTATTTACTCCTTGCCATCTCCCGCATGGGAATTATCATGGCCTTTCTGGGGCGCCATGGGGTCATGCAATGGGTGGAAAATCAGGCGCAAAATCTCACGGGCGCAAAGCCGGAAAATTCAGAATATTCAAAATGGAACTGAGGTTCACTTGTTCCCAGAGGCAAAGGAACAAAACAAACAAGAACTCACCAGTTACTAGGAAGGATAAAACTGTATCGATGCCCAATGGAGAAAACAATGACTGAGTGCGTGATGGTGGTAATCAGGCGAATGCGACTCGGGCAAAAGATCTGCGATTGAGGGGTATGCTGTGATGATAGTCCCTTGGAGTCACCGATCAAGTAACTACTAATGCGGAGTGGACGAGGATTCTGGCGAGATTGAAGCTGAAACGGGGGATCAGAGAGAGGGAGAAGGGAGAGATGAGAAGAGAGCGGAAAACTCGGCCGTTAGATATATATATATATATATATACGGACACACACAGAGAGAGATAGAGAGAGCCCGCGGAAGAGGCTGACATTTTGGAAGAATGCCAGGGTTCCATCCGGTGACGTCGTTGGATAGAGAAGAACGCCAGCTAGTTTAGCTGATCGCGGCGGCTGCGGGTTGTTCCCCTCGCGGAAATATCTCCTCTGCAGGAGGTGTAAAGTCTGCCATGGCTTTTCAATGACCAGAGCCGATATCTTCTCACGGGATTCATGCTTCATTGTTGGGATCGAAGATCATCTCCCCAACCGCTCGTCCGGAGCGGATTGCACACAAGCTAGTATCCCCCGCCCTGAACTGTGTCGCGTATGCGGATAAGCAGCCAAGGCTACAACAGCCCTCGTAAGTGGCCACGGGGCCATCAAGGGCCAAGGACAGGACGCCCTACAGAATCGTCACTGGGTGGCCGCAGCCACTCAGGACGACGGGAGCTTCTCGAGTTTGCCCCGTTGGTTGGCTCCGGATACGGATTTAACGGCCATGATCGATGATTCATAGCCCATTGATGGAGGAGAGGAGTGGCAACTGCGGCTCATTGAACTGTGCTCTGGGTTGATCTAAGAGCACGTTGCGCACATTGATTGCCACCCGGTAGGAATCGTTTGAGGCGGATGGTGATCGATATATCTCGGGGACCTTTCATCTCAACAACTGTATTAACAGCTGCATCAGCCGTTTCTTGTGGCAGCCGAGATTGAGTCTCCTGTGAGGCCGCTTCTCTAGGTCGGGATTTGTAGACGAGCATTGCCACCAAAGAGAGAATAGCAGCACAGAGCACGGCACAGAGAACAGCACCTAACCTCCTCTTTTCTTCTCTCCTCTCTCCTCTCCTCTCTCCTCTCCTCTCTCCTCTCCTCTCTCCTCTCCTCTCCTCTTCGCTGTCGCAGAAGAGGCTCAAACCGAGGACACACACCAATGCCGGCCAGCAGCGGCGGGGCATCTTCCAGAATCCCACTAGAGCAGTGCCTAACAGCGTTCCCCAGACTGAAACAGCCAGTTAAAACCCCGAGTCTGTGGCCTTGTTCAGCCTTGCGCCCGACACAGCCCAGCCCTGGCATCAATGGACTTGAATTTAATGAGTGGGCGCGGATCATCTGGCCACAGGAAACACAAGTTTCGATTCCTCCCGCTAGCAAAAGAGAGGGAACTCTCCCTCTCCTGTCATCTCTGTCTCCTCCCTGTTTTCAGACCAAGGAATGGCACGCCGACGCCCCGGATGGCAGGATTGGGGAAGCCTGGCCAAGCCTGGTCTAGCATGCAGAAGCGCGGGTTTTGTCGTATTTCTTTGGAACGAAACCGCCGGTGCTTTTCGTCTTCAGGCATCAGGCGTGACGTTGGGGATGGATGCTTAGCGAGTATATATTCGGGAAGAAGAACGACAGGTTCCAGAGCCAGTTGCTGGGCCACGTTTTTGCATCCGACATACTTCTGGCTACATAGGTACTAACTAGTACTTTCGCTTATCGAGCCTGTAGGCCATTTTCGATCTTACGTGGTAATATCACATATCTACCTTCTACGGTTTATGCTTCTCGAATGCCATGAATCCGCCCTTCAGTTAACATATTTGCCATGCAATTTTGACTAGTTAGTATCTTTGGCTGCGCCCACCACTGTATGGCCTCTTCCATATTCGGATATCTCAAAACTCACTCCATAACTGAAACTGAAGAGACAACAACAACAACAACAATAATAATAATGGCAATATAAATTTAGCCCTTCGGTCAAAATCCGCCGGCCCTGGAAGCAATAAATAAATATGCAGTGCATGGCCACACCGCATGCTCCCGGCGCCTCAGTTCTGTCCGAGATATGTCGTGCAATGGTCAGAGAGGGTAACTTCAACTGCTGCTCAGCGAGGCTGCCGGTCTGTAATCTCCTGGGGGGTTTTTTTTTGCACGGCAGCGATATTTATTTATCACAAGGTGAGGCGGACATGGTCACAGTGCTTTTCACATATATGAAATAGTGGTTGATGTTGATGCAGCCCCATTGTGAATTTATTTACTTCTCCTGTTTTCATGAGTCATCTGATCCCTCTGTGGTTGAGATTGAAAGTGGGGAGGGGCGAAGTAGTATTTCCTTTCCAAATGTATATATATGTAAATATAAATATATAGGTATATCTATACAAGAAGCGGGTGGAGAGGAGCCTTAGACTGCGAAGATAAGGGTCTTCCTCAGTGAGATGGTTAACCGATATCGGATTCTGTGCCTCAAAACATATTCATGATCAGGTTGACTCTCGGTATCCAAGCCATTCCTTGTCCAAGCAGACAGCTTCAAATGGGAGTTATTCTGTTTGCGAATCAGCATCGCAAATATTCTCCTCCAGCTGTCCGCCGAGCCATAGGGACTCTTATGTATTTGCGCCAACCGCAGTACAAAAATCACAACCATTCCCTATTAAGTACCTTGATATGAGAAACACACACAAAGAAGTACCTGGGGCATCAGGTATGAATATTGAATTGCTGAAATAACCATCTCTTGATAGTAGACAATCATCCAATTCCGATTTTTTTCTCCACGACTGATTTTCAATCGAAATCCTGATTATATATTGATAATTATATTCAACAGCAATAAATTTCCCCACCGTGGAAAGATGCTTATTTTTAGCTAATAAATACTCATATATGATGTTGTGTGGGATGTATTTCTCTATACTACAATAAGTACCTTTTGTGTGGGAAGTATTTGCGCTGAGACAGTCAGCACCCACTCAGTGTGGGGTGAAGAACGTTGCTGGAGAGGATAATGGCAGAAGGCAATTTTATTCCAGGTTTCAAGCCGGTTGAGCGTCCATTCTGAAAGCGATGACCTTGTTTCTCCTTTCCTTCCTTCGAAAAACATAAGGCTAGGGAGGATTATTCCGCAAGCGCCCATGTTTAAGTTCTGTGTAAAAATATAGATGCACCCCTCGATTTCTTTTCGGAATTGGAACGGAAAATAGAGATAGTCCAAAAAAGCCAACAGTGTCGAAAGGTCTATCATTCATCTCTATTTGAAAAGAGGGAAATGTTCGGCGTTCAACAGAAAAATATAAACACAGATCGATAAGATGGGGCTTTTGCTCGAAGTTGCTCAAATCGCCCATCTATGAACAATGAATGACAAGGAAATAAATTGTATCGAGTTCCGTATCTTCCGACTTGGATCCGTTCAACACCATAAATGTTGCACTGGATATCATTCTCTGTCGCTCATATGCATATTACATATTTTGCAAATCGAAGTCGAAAGTAAAATATTATGAGGATCCCCCATCCTTGAATTTTGAACTGGTTAATCCGCGGCATGTGGTCAAACTTCCCACTCTTCCCATGCCCTGGTGCTTTGTCCTGCAAGAAAGATGCAACTAGGCGGAGTTATGCATGCCCATTCCCGCCTGTCAGTTGAAGGTCAGTCCATGATGATTTCTGAATGGCATTTGGGCTGCGGGCTAGAGATCGATATCCTCTGTGATGGCCTGAATTCGAATATCAATTTGTAATGATCATCATGTCATTTCACCCACAACCCAAAATGTCGCACCCGTGGGGAGCTCAAACAGCGCGAGCAAAGGAACCACCATCGTTGAGATCAACAGCAGCAAGCAAAAAGTCGAGGAAACTCCTTCCTTGTCCTTCCCCTCTCCTCCTCCGCAGTTCCTCCAACAAATATCGCTCCTTTCTTGCGGTTCGCGATCGGGGTGGTCTAGACACGGGAATGCAACGGAACAGCCTGGTTTGGCTCGAGTTGACAAAGTTGGAAAGTTGGCAGCATCCCAGGCTAAGCATTTTGGGTTGCTCTGTTTCAGCATCCAGCGAGAAGTTAGTTGATCCTTGAGCAAGTCATAGGATTGGTCTGGGCTTCAAGTTAAATGCACAAAATGTCTACATTGGCCAATTTGCTGATATGGCTACGAGTAGTTCTCGCTCACACAAGAGTGAGAGACAGAAATAACCCCTAGTAGAAATTAAATGGTCCATAATCTTGAAGTTGATCCCCAGCTGTGGATACATCCGCCCACACAGCATGAAGACTGATGCTGTCACTGTGACGGAGACAAATGAATGATTCAAGAATGTGGTATTCCGGTATTACAACGATGGGGGAGGCGGTCAACGCCAGCCAACGGCGTTATTGGGTGGTACCTGTTTTTGGCGCGGGATTTGTGTTGGAAATCAGGTCCTCACCCATCCAACGGTGGTCTGGACCGGCGGTTGAACGCGCGTCACGTATTGTCATGGCAGGCTAGCTCAATACGGTAATCCGACCACCTCCCGTCTTCTTTTCTCGTCCATCGCCATCGCCATCATCATCATCGCCATCAGCATCGTCATCGTCATTATCACCCTCATCATCTTGACAACTCCCACAGCACTCACTCAGTATTCTTGTCTCTCCTGTGTTCCCTGCCCTCTCCTGCGTCTCCTCCACCTCCTCCGTCCCCACTCTCTCAGTCCCCCAGCCAAGTTCTCCGGACTGCTTAGCGCTTGATTCGACCCCTGTTCTTCTCTTGTCCTCTCCCCACAGGAACAGTTACTCAGCGCTATCGCCTCTTGGGGAACTTCCTGGTGGGCGTTACAATCGCTGGCGGCCTGGCACTGGCTGCCCGTCTTGCATTGTTATCCCTGTGTGGTCGAAAGAGGCCCAACTTTCGTGTTCGTTCAGCTTCGCTGGGCTTTTCGACGTGTGTTTGCCCCATTGGTCTTGTCCTACTAAGAGGTCTTCCCCCCGTGCAACAGTTGTCAAGCTAGTTGGTCTCGCCTCTGACCTTTAATTCCATAGGGCTCAGAAGTGGCCACGACGCTCCGGGAATAAGTGACAAAACGGGGGTGCCGAGAAGAAAACAACAAGAGCAAAGGAAACTAGGAAAAATACAAACAACCAACGAGCAAAAAGTCCACTAAGACCGCCCATCGAACGCCAGGAACGTGGTCCTTCTCCGCACGCCAAAGCACTAAGGCAAAAAGATAATCGAACAGCCCATCCGTGATTGATCGACAATCAAACATTTCTTTCATTTCGCCTCCATCCGTTTGTTAAAAATAAAAATCCCCCTTTTGGAATAATATTTGGGGAAATAATTACCATTAATAATAATAATCAGCCATCAAAGTCATCACCAATCCCTTCAGATTGTTTAGGGGTTCTATTCTTTTGACCCAACCTTTGAATCTACCAACCAGAGAGATTATCCCAATCATGATCTTCGGTTTCGCAGCCTTACCGCAGTAACAAGAAGCAGTAACAAGAACCAGTGACAACGAACATCCGGCGCTTCCATCTCTACATTTCCTCCCATACGACATTTATTTCCGAACAAAGTATGAAGCCAGCTTACATCTGTTAACCATTATTTTACCTTTCCTTCTTTTTCCTTTCTTTTTTTGAGCGGTGTAACGCCTGCTGGGAGAATTACGACCAAACCTGCGGGCTGGCCCCAGCATATTGCGCGCTATCCGTTCCTCGAAACCTTACGAAAACCTGCTTCCTGAATTTTGTCATTCTTCCGGCCATGTCTTCGTCGAACAACCCAACAGAGGACAACACTACACTAACCCACAGTGGGGGCATATCGGCCGCTCAAACAAGTTCTGGGCCTGGCGCGCAGGGCTCCTCTCGACCTGACGCTCTTCTCCCACCATCAGGACTTCACACTTCGTTTGTGGGCATGTCTTATCATAATAGATATTCCTCCACTGGACGATCCGCCCCAGTATCGTCAACGAATTCGGTTACCTCCTCACGCGAAACCTCCCCCACTCGCCCCCTTCGATCGATAAACTCCGCAGCAGCATCAAGATCAGTCTCTCGATCACGAAAAAATAGCCAGGAGCTTAGTCCCAATCGTACCCCTATTCCCTCTCCCGTCGCGCTCCGACGGAATCTCTCCAATGTGAACAAACCGCAATTCCCACCACCCTCGGTTGAACCGTCCGCAGACTTGCAACGTCCCATTAAGTCCAATAATATGCCCTCGAAAATCCATGGCGATTCATCACCACAATGGCCTATATCTCCCAGGCTCAAATCGCCACCTCCGCCAGTTCTATCATCGCGTAACAATCTCCCTCTCACATCAAAGCGATTGGACCATGAGACCACTGTGGCAAACATGTCTAGCAAGAGAAACCCGACACTGTCCGAAGTTGCCCAATGTGCCAATACGCCGGAAGAGGAAGCGGATGATAAATACAATCGCCAAAACGCACGGGTCGCTTTGAATAGAGGTAGCAGCGGGGCCGGATCGATTTTGGAAACAGTACAAGAAGCTGGCGCTTTGCTAGAGCCACCAGTTCCCGGTAACCGGGAGGAGAATGTGGAAGAATCTGCCCCATTTGTTGCAAAAACTGGCGTGGAAAGTGGAAGCGATAGCGGTGGGAATAGGGGCAAACCGAGGATATCGCCTGCTAACGCAAGACCGGGGGATATTATTTCAAAGCGCTCATTTAGCTCACTGAGTTCAACTCGAGGGAAGCTTGGCGACACCCCTGCGAGGAATATGATTATTGAGGCAGAAACAGTTAGCTCTATACCACAAGTATCTCTAGGTGGTGGTGCAGGTGAGCGTAGCGCTGCCGTGAGAACGGATACTAGTGGTAGCGTCAGGTTGAAAGCGAGCGACGAAACTATTCGACCGAAAAAGGAAAAAAAGAAACCGGTCCGCCGGCCAACAGCACTTCCTGCTGGTACAGGTTTGTGACAGCCCGTATTCAATCGAGTATCAATTTCTGCCCTTTTAACTGACCATAATATTTGCACAGTTTCGTCCAAGGCCGATATATTTGAGGCCAAAGTTGCTAGCGCTGTGGATGAGGCAGATTCTTCAGATTCTGCGGAAACATTTATATACGAATCAAACCCTCCGGACTCCCGCCCTGCTCATCCACTTCGATATCATTCACGAACCCCCAGTTCTACCTCAATGGCTAGCCAAGCTGATCAATACGGAGTTCGGCCCCGATTAGGCCTGAGGGACCACACCGTTACTGGAAAGAGAAGTATGAAGTTTACAAATACCGGGTATGGGGCGCTGGATGGCGATGGAGATCAGTCTAGTGGAAGGGGGAGTGGAAGACCCAACGGACATATCCATACGACGCGGCATTCCCACATTGGCCGACACGGGAGAAGTGGTCACCCATCAGTCCTCGATCAGTCCCCATTTCTTGTTTCCCAGAGTCAGAAGCCATCGAGACATAGCTTCATCAACGGGAGTAAACAAAGCCGTGGGTCTCATAGCTATCGTATGACTGGCAACCCTAAAAAGAATGGCGATACATATGGTTATGATTTCGATGGCGAGGGTGCCGATGATGAACGAACGCCGCTTGTCGGGTCTGTTCGTGTGACCCGCACTCGTCACGCCCGCCGTCCCAACAGTGCAAGTCTTCGTCAGATGGAGTATATGGAGCAACGACAAAGAAGCTGGCTGTCACGACATGGGCTTTGTATTCTTCTCTTGATTTTCCTATTCCTCCTGGCTGGAGGAGCGACAACGGCTGTGGTTGGGTTGATGAAACCGCTTACGGGCGTGCACGTCAAGAAGATCCGGAACGTTTTAGCCTCTGAACAACAGATTATGTTTGGCCTCGAGGTTCAAGCGATCAACTCCAATCTCATGACGCTTACAGTCAATAATATGGATGTTAATATATTTGCAAAGAGCAGATACCTTGGCAGCGAGTCACACCTGCACGGTTCTGCTTCTCATCCACATATGGTTGTTCCACGGACGAAGGATAGTAGAACACGGGCCCGCTTGACTAGTGCGGTAAAACAGAATGCTGCATCGATAAGCGATACTACACACGCTACCGGTGGCATTGACAGAGGCACAGATCCTATCTTCGCGGACCCTCCCGAAGACCCTGTTGGAGACCCACAGACTATGCTCCTCGGCCGCATTTTCCATTTCGATTCTCCTCTTACCTTCGAATCTTCGCCATGGAGGCACGATCCATCGTCCTCAATCGGTGAAGTAAGGCTTGCAAAGCCGGGAAACAAAACCGAAGAAGGCGGAACTGCTCGTTGGGAACGAGTCTTGCAGAATCCCTTTGAACTGATCGTGCGCGGTGTCGTCAAGTACCAACTCCCGTTGACGTCACGCATGAGGTCTGCCTCGATCAATTCACAAATAACTGTAGTTCCCAATGATGACAGTGGGGGTGGAGACAATGGTGATGATAACAATGATGGAGCTGATAAAAAACCGCCGACGACACCGGGCCACCATAATAACGACACGAGCGCCGAAACGTATCAATCCTGATTTGCTGTGTTGCCATTTCACAACCCACCACCATGTTACATTGCGCCATTCAACTGAGCGGCTTCATGTACCAGTCTTATTTTTCCTCTCCAAAACTTACCATTTGTTTGGTCTACCTTTGAAATCTTTCTCACACTTTTTTATTCTTTTCTCCCTTATCTACTCTTTTGTATACCCACGCATCGCGTTACATAGAATGTTTTTCCTTTCCTCATTCTTCTCTCCTTTAATCTTCTTGCCTTTTCTTTACTTGAACTTGTTTTTTTAGCGGTTATTCGGGAAATGTGCACTATAAAGCGCTGACGCTGCAAAGGAGCACGCGTCAATACATGATAAATGGCAAAAAGTACGCAAGGATGGTGTTATTTATTACATGGGCTCCTTTCTAGTTTTCTTTCCTTCAGTTGTATTCCATTTCGTATTTTCCATTTTAACACACGATGAATGACGCACCGCACTGGTTAACCTACCATGACCACTATATAGACGGAAAACCGGATAATTCTTCCCGGGGATCTCTTCGTTTTTTCCTTGTTTGAGGGGCACTCACACTTCCATGAGGAAGGCCTCTGTGTGTGACCCTCCCACTTCCTGACTACTTTTCCTTTGTCATACAGTTCCAGACGATGAAACCCACAACATCACACCACCACCACACCACCACACAATCCTTCCTTTTCATCGAACTCGATGTATATACTAACTTACTTTTATTATCTTTCATATGTTCGAACTGCCATATCTTATATGTAGCCTTCTCTTCCCCCTTTTGTTTAAAGATATCTGTCTATTGTCTATATAATGAATGATGTGATGAGATAAATAAAATACACGAAAGAAGATATATACATCAGCATGTTAATTATTTTAATGGGAGGGGGGAGAGTTGGGAGATTGACGGCAGAGAAAAGCAGGGAGATGACGACTATTATATGCATAGATACATACATATGTTGTCCGTTAGATATGTAATACGTTTTTTGCAGGGTAGCAAAGGAGAGACCACACATATATGATTCATAGATAGATATGTGTTCTAATGCCAATCTAAACAATCTAAAAAACATCAACATTGATCGTTTGACAACCTTCTTTTCAAATTGAACACTGATTCATTACATTTTTTTGTGCGGCCAACTTCTTCTATTTCATAGATTTTTACTCATGACATTCACAGCACCCCCCAACGGCACGATTTCTCCATATGTCCCATGGTGACAGAAGGCAATGAGATAATACATTTTTACTCATAATAATACTTCCTTCCAGCCTGGGAAAACTCGGATACGGAACGAACATCGCTCTGTCTCATCTTCACTTATTCAATTCATTGATTTAATTTTCTCCATAGAAAAAAAAGTAAAACAAACAAACAAACAAACAAAGTAAACAAAAGGTTGGAAGGAAGGTACCGTTCATCGCTCTTTCTCTCCAAGAGGATTGATGGTTGCAGGGTGCCAGGGCGCACTTTCCCCATACCGGGCCCACAGTAACTCCTTCCTTTGTTTTCCTTTCCTTTCCTTTCCTTCCCTTGGCTCCTGTCTCCAATAGAGGGCCGGGGTCGGGGATGTGAAAGAAGGCGAGCTGGTAAGAGGTTGACGGGATGGCCGGGCAGGAAGCCTTCACTTGGAGATCGAAGTCATATATATTATAGCCTCCTGTGTGAACCGAGTTCAGCCCCAGATGACATGTTCTTGAACAATACGCGTATTCGGAGGACGGCCTGCGTTGGTTTGATCGAGAGAGACAAAGCGGAGATGGAACACGAAGAAAAATAACACAACAACGGCTTGAAACCGGAAACTCAGGGACGGTTCATGACTTTCATTTCATTTTTTTTTTTTTTTTTTTAAATAAGAATCAATCATCCGCTCAATTGACAGAGCGTGTGCCCACAAATGCTAAAGAAGAACAAAAAAAGAGATTGAAAAAAAAAAAAAATGGAAGGCGGAAAACACCCAGAACAACATATAAGATTTCAGATTAAAAAGTTTAGAAAACAAGAGCAGCCCCCTTTGTCTTCTTGTCACCACTGTAGAGTAGAAAAAGGCCATTAGCAGCCGTACTTCCCCCAAATTATATAAACATAAAATATAAAAACACGTTTGGAATGTCTACGTACCCCAACTCGAAATGCTTGCATCGTTTCAGGGCCAGCTGGGCCTTGGTCTTGCAGACTGTGCACTCCAACCGCAGAACAACCTTCTTTGTGGTCTTGGCCTTCTTCCTGAACACGGGCTTCGTTTGACCACCGTAACCGCTTTGCTTACGGTCGTAGCGACGCTTTCCCTGTGCAAATAGCGAGGCCTAAAAAAATTGGCGGGGAAAGAAGAGAACGAACACAAACATCAGCAACCACACATGATATATGCTCCCAGTATTTTTTTTTTCTACCACGAGATGAAATATGCATCTGTTGGTGTGGGGAATGCATAGCGAGCTTGCATACCTTTCCAGCTTTGTACTGGGTGACCTTATGTTGGGTGTGCTTCCTGCATTCCTTGGACTTGCAGTATGTCCGGCGGGTTTTGGGAACGTTGACCTGTTTCGGGACAGAGCCCAGATATCAATCAGCATCACTTTCCTGACATGTTGTCTGTCTTTCTTTTCGCCCAGATAAATTGTTCCGCCCTCGATTTCCACGCAATATAATCATGGCCATCTGACTGAACAAGTTCACAAATGCAGAGAAATCGTGTAATGTCGGTAACACTGTTTCTTTCTTTCTTTCTTTTTTCTTTTTTTGGTCGTGAGGGATTCCGGAAAACTTTGTCGCGTCAACGATTTTGTCGAGGTATCTTTTGGAAAACGTTTTGCGAGATCCTGCCGACTCTGCTCCACGGAGTGAAAACGATGGTATTGCGGGGGACATATTGAATAAAAGGCTCGAAGGGCTCGAAAAGCTCGAAAGGCTCAAATGGTGAGACTTGATCAACTCCGCCGTATTTTCCCTCCACGCGGTGTCATCGCACAATTGATTCATATCGGACCAACAAAACCCGCCTTGCCTCCACTCGAGATCCCGTACATATATTATTTTTCGGGGAGGAGAAAGAACACAGCGACAGGGAGAGCAAGAGGAAAACAGGGCTCCTTACCATTTTGACTGAAATTGGCCGGCTGTCGAACTGGGGTAATGTCGCTGGATGTCGCAGGTTGTCGCAGTCTGCAGGCGTTGAGAGTTGGCCGGCGGTTGTGGGATTTCGTTCGCTTAGGGCAGCGCAGGGGGCGCTAGTCTGCTTTGGGACTGCGAAGCCTAAACCTTCGGCAGCAACATATCAAACTTGTCATTCCTCGTCTTGGGGATGTGTCGCGACGAATGAGATCGCGGATTAAGAGTTGATATTGGCTATGTATATACCTGTGTCTTGACCGTTGGCAGTTCTCAACCCCTTAATCCATTTTTATCTCTGAGGTAGATTTCGAACGCAAGAGGCGTTCGAAACCATCATCTACTACTCAGTATGGTGCTCTGTGGGAACAGGACTATACCTGGTTAATTTTACCGCTGGCAAACGCCTCAATATTCACGGTTTGCATGGTCTGTATAGAAAGATACTATCTTCTATTCCTAGCTTTGGTCAGTGGGTTTGGCATAAATACTAGTACGTCAGGGTCACTTTTGTACCAGCACTGGTACTACTGGCATCCGTTAGAGACTTGACATGAAGAAGATTCACGACTTGCTTGCAGCAACGTCACGTAGTAGAAGTTTCTTTTCCCTCCAGCTGCCGGGGTATTTGTTCTTATATTTAGTGGGAGTAAAAGGAGAGCACCGCGATCATGGTATTGTTCATGTCTAGGAGCATCATCAGCTTTTGGCGCAGTAAGAGAATGAACGTGCCGTTTTTCTTTTATTTCCCATACCCAAAATTCGTAGACATACTTACTAAAGGGCATATAGAGAAATACTAGCATACAGCAATGTATCCGTAGATCTGTTCATCTGTTCCTTGGTGCTGCATTATCAGGCCTAATCAGGCACTCCGCGCCAACCCCACCAGCTCGCGTTGAAAAGTGACCTCACTGCTGCCTCTTTGGCAACCTCCGCTCCAGCGACATCAAACATCCGGCAACATCCCCAGCTCCCCTCCATATTGGAAAGAGAAATCAACGACCCTGACAAGGCTCAAATACTCTTTTTTCCAGCCTCTACCATCTGTTTCCGCCTCCGCCTCATCACCCATTGCTAGCGCTTCAAGTTGTCACCGATCATTCCAAATCACAAAAAATGCTTATCAAGTAAGTCCGGCGCCTCAAAAACTACTGAAAGATGAAACCAGAAAGGAGGCACTGGAAAGCTAACCAGAACCGCACCTCCCTTTCAATAACAACAGAGTCCGAACACTGTCAGGCAAGGAGATGGAGCTGGACATAGAACCAGACTACAAGGTATGTATGGATGCGTCCTTTCTCTGCTTTCTCTGCCTTCTCCCCCAACCCTTTTCAACCAGCTTATAGTACCAAGTCCAAATAAAAGACCCACGGCTGACCATTCGAAATCTCCGGTTTCTGCTCCTCCCAGGTATCCCGCATAAAGGAACGTGTTGAGGAAAAAGAGGGCATCCCACCATCACAACAGCGGCTGATCTTTGGCGGGAAACAAATGTACGTACTGCACAAATTTCCCCCTCTCATAGAGTGGTTATACAATATTTTTTTATTGGAGCAAAAGCCACCTCCCGGTTTCTCTCTCTTTTTTTTACCATCATTGCGAAGATAATGAACTTATGTTTTAATTATTTCGAAAACCCAAACAGGGCCGACGACAGGACTGCTGCGGAATACAATCTCGAAGGCGGCTCAACGCTACATTTAGTCCTCGCTCTTCGCGGAGGAGTGTTATAATTTTGTCTTCTATTTCAAGAAAAGGAAATTGAAAAGAAAAAAAAAAAAAAAAAGAGAGGGGGTGGGAGAGAGAGAAAGAAGATTCCCTTCCTACCGGCTCTTTGCTTTCCTATTCCCTATTTCTCTTTTCTTTCATTTTTCTACTCTTCTTTCAAAAACGAATAGTTACGAATACGAATATACGCATACATCTGCTAGTCGTCGGCCGACAAAAATCCAAAGAAAACTCCCCCTCTCCTTTCTTCCTTTTCCCGACTGGAAGCTGTATGAGGTTAATCGATGAGGCCATCATCGCGAGACCTCTGGATGTGCCCGGTTTGGTTGCGTTTCGAAGTTACAGGTGGATTTATCCCCGGGGCTCTCAATTGTTGTCTAATGCAAGACAACGTTCAAGAGACAATGACGAACTCGGACCCCCCATCTCCTTGTCTATTGTCTATTTGTTTGTCTGTGTAATGAAACTGTAGCGTGCGGCATGTTAAATAACCTCGCAGCTTTTATGGCATCTTTTATGTTTTGATCCTTCTTTTTGTTTGAGCGGATGTTGCTTTCTGCTAATATCGAGAAATTCCTGAAAGTCAAGTTCCTTAAATGCACGTCCTCACTTCGTTCACTAGGTATTTACATGCGTGTGTGTGTGTGTGTGTGTGTGTGTGTGGTGGTAATATCCAGAAAGGGAAAAGTATAGCCGTCCTGCTGGTGTGGGATATATATACACAGATGAAACATGTTTGATGCAGCAAAATGCCATCAACATATTGAAATCGAAGGGAGCTAACCAAACGCCTTCTTCCCAATTGAGCAAGAATACAAAAAAAAAGGGGGGGCGGGGTGGGGGAAAGAATAGCCAACAAAAGGTCCCACGGTGATATTTGCCCAAAATAGAACTCCAACCTCACCATTCGAAGTCACCAGGCCCCAAATAGGTAGATCAATGTGTATAAAATGTATGCATGTATGTCCCGCTGGCAGTGTATGTACAGTACAAAATATGCCTAATCTAGGGTGTGAATGCTTTCTATGCCCTTGAGTCCGCTCAGCACTGATACATGCGCCTAGATTAACCAACAAAAAGAAAAGCAGTTCCTACCCATATATATCATCCGTTCCCTAGCTCCATGGTTCCTATCATATGGGAAAAAAGAAAAAAATAAGGGGAGGGTTCGTGGCTCGTGTCATTGAGATTTTATTTTCTTCCTTTGAAGTATTATAATCGTTGTCACTGTGGTACACTTTGTGTGGATTCTTGCCAATAGCACCCTGAGGGTGTGTTTCTATATAGCGAATATAATGGCAAAAGAGGCGGAAAGAGGTGGTGTGAGGGGAGGGGTTCATCCGGGGATGTGAGGGGCGGATATATATAAATTATATGCTATAACAGTCGTCTCTTTTTAGGCTTGACAAGCACGTATTCCGAAACCGGTCGTTTTCTCACAGCGGGGCGAGATAACCTGGACTCGGCGCTGGTCTGGGACGTCTTGGCCGTTGAGGTATGGCTATCATCGCCGGGTTCACTGCCATCTGCCATCCTAACGGCTATTGGCGAAGTGGCAGAAACAGACGTCTCCTCACGTTTCCCATTTTTGGAAACTAGCGAACTCTGCTTGCGTACTCCTGAGGTGCGAGATGGGGTGGTAGGCGAGGATGGGGACGGACAGAGGATTTTTGACTGCTTTGATCCTTGATCGAGGGAACCGGGCCTGAGGCCGAGGTTGCTAATTATTGTTGTTTTCGTTGGTGTTGGTGATTGTGTTGCTGCTGTAATTGTAGAAGGGGAGCGTGGGTCTCTCGTCTTTGGTCGCGGGATATTTTGCTCAATAGGTCGCTTGTAATCCTCAATTAGCGACCGGGGAGCGTTCACAACCTGGGAAGCGTTGCTATTTAGACGATGTGTGGGGATGCATAGGCGCTGGTTTCTTTTTGCGAAGGGCAGTGCTGACTTCTTTGGAGCTGGCCGTGGCGCCTTGGGGCCCTCAAATTTCCACCGCGGGGATTGATCATACGGGGTGGTCCCACGACCTCCAGATGGCTTCACAGCTCCTTGGGCAAAGACAGGAGAAATACCACCCATTTTCCTGTCAAGAAAAGCATGCCGTTGAATTGCGGTTGGTTTCTCCTTGGGAAGCCGCATTTTCCGCGTATCCACCACTTTAGAGGCATGTTCGGCCTTTTTGGAATCGAGGCCAAGTAGCGCAAGCTTCATGCGCTCTGCATCTTTATCTACTTCCCTGGCGGTTTTCTCTAGAAGCTCATGATAAACGTCGTACCAATTATCAGGGTTCTCGGGAAGGATGAGTTCATCGAATCCGGGAACATCGCGTTTGATAAACTCAATCCATAACTCTGCATCATGTTCGAGGAGATGCGGCGACTTGAGTTCAAGCTCACGCTATGATAAAAGATTGAGGGTTAGTGAAAATTGCCTGGGGCAGTATATAGGTAGTTATGTAAAATGAACATAAATATGCGCTGATGGGAGCGGGGGAACATACCAGCTGCTCCGGGTTCTCCATTTTTTGGAGGATTGGTCTGATAAGATCATAGCGGGCCAAACCGATATCGTCGATTCCTATAAGCGACAGTCAGATACATCCATTATTCATTTTAATATGGATAAAAAAGGGTGAGAGTATACTTTTTATAATCTTTATGCAGGCCTTTCGCGCGAGGTGGAGCAACGATGGGGCGGGCATTGGATAAGACACAAGGAAAGCAGTCTGCTCAAAGCAGAGTTGGCTACATGGGGCTGGAGAGGGTTTTGATCCGAGGAGGCCAGCGCCGCACAAAGCAATAGGGGGGAGCAAACGGAATAGGCAGGGATATGACGCAGAGAGCTAATGCCTGATTGATAGGACCTCAGAAGTGTACAGTTTGTCGTCTGTGGAGAGTGCAGAGGTTGTTTGGGGGTAGGAGAGCTCCGGCGGCGGTAGTTGGTTAGCAAGGCCGTTACATCATCCCGCACCGGAGCCGCCAATTAACTCGGGGGTGAGCAGTCACATCACAGCGACCTTCATTACAACTGCATACACGCTTCTGCTGTGGGGACACGAGGCTATCTTTCTTTCCTTGTCTCCTTTTTCTTCTCGTCGCCCTAATTTACTTCTGGACACCACTGTGTTCGTGATATGTACGTGATCCCTGATGTGGGCGCATTTTAGATGCGGTAGTTAATATGAAACATTCTCCGAGTCATCTACTCGTACCTGAGATATATCTGGTGCGTTGAACATGGCAGTCCTGTACTCAAAA